AAACCGAACCAAACCAAATCGATTTGGGTCGGTTTGGTTTGGTTAATCGGTTTGAACATTGGTGCAAGTTAAAAAAGATTACATATCTATTTTGAGTTAAAAAAATTTGCCTTTCCACACACACACACACACACGCACACACACATGCTTGCGTATCAATAATATATATAATATAAATGGNTGGAGTTTTGGTAGAAAAAAACGTAGAAAGTAAATAAATTATTTAAGAAAGAATTACATTTGTGTTTTTATTTTTATTTTTTTAAAGTTTAAGAATACGAATTTTAAAATGAAAAAAAATTAAAAAAAAAAAAGTATTTGCGGGTTGGAACGGTTAATTGACGGGTTGGTTGCTTAAACCGCAACCAACCCAACCCGACTTTATAATGATTAAAATTAATCGAATCAAACCGATTTTTTGGTTCAAACCAACCCAAACCGACTCGACTCGGTTTGGTTTGGTCGGTTTAATTAATTTTTCGATTTTTTTGTCCACCCCTAAGGGTAGGATGGAATTAGTAAAAATTAGAGTGTATAGTCAACTCTGATTTTTGTTTAAAAGGCCTATTCTCAATATAAGATATTTTCTTCATCTTGGTAGGTTTCCATTATTTTTTCATATATATACATATCTTTTATTGATCCTATTATCAGTTTTTTCTAGGATCGGTTTTTTTTTATTTCTCTAGGTAATTCTTTAATTATAATTAATATTAATATTTTTAATCTATTAGGAATAGGTTCTAAATATACATAACATCCTTTATCTTCTTCTAGTTTATAATAACTATTATAATATCCTTGTTTATCTTCTAACTTATAATATTTTTCTATTTTTGTAATTCTAATTTACATGATTTCTATGGCTCTGATACCAACTGGGAGTGCTACTTTGAGCGAACAAAAATCAAATAAATCAAATAATCTAATAAATCTAATAATTAATTTAAAGTTCATATTCTCTTATAATCTCTTTAATATCTATAAAAGTTTGACCGTTTATAATATCTAAGTCTATATTTATATAATCATTTTACCGTATAGGTGTCTTATGATTTATTACCGTTCTCATCTTTCTTTTTTCTATTTTATCTATAAGATCTTGTATATCATTCATTATTAAAGTTCTAACTGGACCTTTTATAAAATTTTCAGATATATTATTTTTAAAACATTTTAATGTTTCCAGTGATGCTTATAATTGATTTGTATATTCTCTTTTGTTTATATTTTCATTAATTCTTTTTCTATCTTTTCCTTTGCAAATTCTTAGATTTATATGGACCTCTAGGTCTTCTAGGTTTTTTTCGTTGTATAGTTATTCATTCATAGACAAGAATAATGATAAAATTAAGTTTATTTAAAAGATTTTGTATATTCTAGATATTCTTCTATATTTCTAATTTTTAATCTATTAATGATTAGTCTAAAATAGAATCTAATTGTTAAAATATAATTTAGTTTTTTAATTTCCTTAGGTAACCTATTTGATAAATGTTTTCTCATAAAATTTTTTAGATTAAAAATATTAAGGATGAAACTTTATTCATATTATAGTAACTTGATTGCTATTTCTATGTAAGGGATATTTTTGGTAGTTTAACAAATTTATAATGGTCAAAGGCCATTGGAAATATGGCTTTATATTTAGGTTACTTTCATGTATTTCCCGAGTTGAAGAGAAGTGTACGTGGAATGATCAAAACCCAGTTTCTTTTATTGATGAACTATAGTGAAACCAGTTCGTGAACAGTGCTGATCCAGTTACAAGTGTGAAAAGGGAGGTGCACAAATGAATAGTGATGGGTTACCTCTTTTTTAAGAGAGTAGTGATAGTGAAATGCCCAGGCTGTGATGCTTTCGGTCCAGCTTAGGGATGTAAAGCTGCCTCAAAACAGGCAGCCAGCAGTAGCTGCTGCTGGCACAGCAGTATTTTTTATTTTTTTTTATTAAAATTTGAATTTGAATTTCAAATTTCAAATTTAAAATTTGTTCAAATGATTATATTTTTTTCCTATAAGTTGAGTTAAATTTTTTATTTGTGTACAATTTTAACTTCGTTTATTTTGATTGTAGCCGGTCCCAAGTCCAAAAAAGGAGGAGAGTTGTAACTTTTATTTAATTTATAATTTGTATAAATAGTCCAAATTTTAAATTCTTTAGAAAAAATGTTAGAATTGTCACGGTTTAAAAAGAAAAAAAAAAAAACCGGCTCGACTCGGAAGGCTCGGGTCGAGCCTCAAATTTTTTGCCAAGCAGAAAAAAAGGTCGAACTATTTTTGCTCCAGTCGAACCCGAGCCTTGAATTTCAGCTCGTGACTTGACTCATTGACACCCCTAATCCAGCTGTTCTTACCTAAAACTTACTGTAGTAGCTACAAGTTCACTTGTTTGTCTAGAGGAAATTATTTCAGCAAAAACAACACTTCTTCTACGAGAGATGCTGTGTGTACAGAAA